TGGATAGTTGGCTGCAATAGTAGTTGAGCGGGAAATTGGGAAACCAATGTAAAGTAAAGTGAAATTTTCCGAAAAAGAAATTATAAATTAATGCTTATCCTTGTGACCTACTTGGCGTGGCACGGCGCATTGGTCGCGTTGCCTGCTTTTCTTATTACCAACACCAACACCATCACCAGCACCACCAAGCCATTCTCTATACACGTAGGCTAGTAAGTATATATAAACACATACACACACACACACACACGCAATGACATGCAATTGTTGGTTAAGTGAAATATTAAAGACCGCCAAAGGATTTTCATCTACTGGCGTCCTTAGTTGACCTCCTTTTATCCTTTTATTCTAATGGCTTGTGTGTTTGAATTGGCTGCAAATTTTTGTTATGAATTTTACTTGACTTTCGCCATGGCTTTCACTTATCGTCATGTATGTATGTATGTATGTATGTATGTATGTACACAAGCTATTTTATAAGTTATGCTTGTGTAAGTAAAATAGTTTTTGGTTCACAAAGTTAATTAGTTGTGGGCGTAAATTTTTTAATATTATTCACTTTGTTAATCAGGAAGGACTCGCCCATACCTTTGATTTTTGTGTGCTCACATGAACTGTAGGTAAATGTAGTACAGGAATGGAATTTGTTGGCAACTTTGGTTTATTTAGTCTTCCTTACAAGCCAATATTATACTTGATTGGCTATAAATAATGTATAGAGTAATGCCCTGCAGCTTACAGGCGCTGAGCGTTGACAAGTTGGTTGAACGCAGTGTTCGTTGCAGGCCTGTTCCAATCAGTAAAGGCTCATTAGGAATGCTGCCTACAGAATGAATGTCACCCTATTATTCTTTAAATGATTTATATATACCTTGAGAATCGCCAACTTACAATAACTTCCTTAAATTATTTAGTTGCAGCTCATAATGTAGACATAATGATCTTGTGGTCCTACCTAAAAATAAGGAATAAGGATTTACAAAGAGAACTACTGTCTTTGAGGAGTTGGGGGAGCGCTCTGTTGGCAGAGATATTTGTTTTGAACGCTTCCTATGTACCATAGTTAAGAGCGCTGCCCCTGCCACGAGGTTAAAGTTTTGTGTGGCAGTTCTAACGCTAAAGTAGGCATAACAACACTTAGCTAATTCCGCCTCCTTGACAAAAGCTCTTCAAATGGAAAGAAAGCTGCTCAACTTCGTTGGTTCTGGTTGTCTGTGGAACGTTACCAAATCAACATAAATTCCTCTATGGGAGTCTACATGTATTGTAGTCGGACTCGCCCAATTCTCAATTCCGATCAAAAAAATAGAATTTAGCACTCTTTACTCTAAGCCGTGCACTAGTTAATCTATCTCAAACATCTTTCAAAAATTTCTAGCGTTTTTCGAAATTATTGGTAACAATAATAACCCATATGACATACTCCTAAGCTGAAAAAAACCCCTTCCTCGCATCGACTGCTTCTCCTATGAAATTAGCCAATAGGCAGTTTGGGCAAAATCTTGGCTTCTCATCCCTTACCTGAGCTGATCGATGTCGCCGAGCTTGTTATAGATGTACGTACTCTGTCTAGGTCTTAGCATTGACTCGAACCACTCTCTTGTAGCAGTAGAGATATGCACCGGTCTCTCTGTCAAAAGGAGTGCCTCGGATGGCCCGTAAAAATGACTCGAAAGGTTCGCCGCCAAAAAGCAGCAATCACAGCAAATAGCTAAGCAATTTTTACTCGACTTGCACTTCCGCTTTCTGAGAGCATACATCAATGAGCAGGGGATCAAAATATCAAGTTCCCAATGAACCGATTTAGAGGAGGTCGTTTTTCGACAATGTCGTATAAAGTGCTCAGAATATCGAACTACAGTTGAGAGACACAACGTTCGGATGAACCACAAGAGGTGCCTGATGTGCCGGCTAAATATTTAAGGATGTGTGCCTAATACCTAGAGCATACTAAGTTTATGTCGGGAACACAGCTTGTTAAATAGTAGTGAAACTGCAACACCCCGAGGTGATGAAGAGGAATTTCCAAACGATGATGATAGAGTAGCGCACCGTTTCACTCTTTTGACGCAGACCGAAAACGGATTACAACATAACAGAGCTGGGGAAACTTACCGGTGAATACGAGGACGAAGAACTGGCAAGGTGTATGCCAGAAGCTTTCTTTGTAAAATGTGAACGGATGACAGCATGTGCGAATATATTGAAACCCGGCTTCGCACTATCTGCGCTTACTATCTCGATATCGCATAGAAGGTATTATTTAATGCAGCGCATGAAAGATTAATGACCACAGACTACACAAAACAGATCTTATCAGTTTCGCTATTGTAAGCCATCCCTTTACTACCAAATACTGAGCTGCCTTTACAACGCTATATTTGAATTCGGTATCCGTGCAAAGTGTACCATACCAAAGCTAGTATTAGGAAGGACCTCTTCGAGCCGATCGAAAGTAATCATCAAAGAATTACCCTCCCTGCCGTAGAATGATCTCGCCCGAAGGCGAGACCAAGATCTTCATCCTGCCAGCCACCACGCTACTGCGGGTGTCAGTACTACGTATAAAGGATTATTTTTATTTCGTTATTTGCGTTAAACCTACATCCACATAATGCATGTTGAGTAAAGACTATAATACCAATGCTACGAATTCATTCACTGACCTAGCCTACCAGAAGTGGAATTAGACATCAAACCCAATAACCAAAATAAAGACACAATAACAACAGACGCACGCACGGAATGAGAATAAAAGTAGCTGAAAGAACAGTAAAATACGAAGCTACCGAAAGAAAAGTAAAAGAAGGGAAATGCCATTCGCCTCACTCAGAAAGAGAGAGAGAGAGCATCAGCGAGAGTGCACGTGAAGAAAATTACTGGAGCAAGTTAAATTAAGCTTCCTTGTCACCAAAAGAGCACCCAACAGAATATATGTATGTATGTGCGAGAAATTTTGTTGCGAAGACTTGTAATAAGTAAGTACGAATGTATGTCAACTGTTGACAAACAATGTTGCGCACGAGATGCTGTACGATTCATACTCGCCAAAATCGCATGCTGCTTTATTGGGGTGTGGAACGTATTTTGTGTCGCTGGCACTCCGGGTGGCTGAGGTCAACTCTATGTGGAAGCCAGCAGCCAGCCGCTGGAGCTGATAAAAATAACACACCCATACAAGGAAGGGCGGCTGTGCATGCGTGTGTTTCTGTGTGTTTCCACGTTGCAGCAGACAATTTTGCGAATCACCGAAATAGCGAAACGTTCATTTCAACCGATTAATGTGAGTCAGTCTTCGCGTGATTTTTACGTAGTGCGGTACGCAAAGGCGGAACGAAATCTGTTATCGGTGCGAATCGTAATTTTGCGGCTCAATTATATTGATGAAACTTAAATGGCAGCGGAAAAATCGTTACGAAAGTGATAAACAAACTAATTTCATTTCAAAATAATTGTGAAACAAAATTGTGAAGTGATTTCAGATGGCATCAAAGCCACACATTTGAATAATTGCGAGTGAAATCACATTTAAAGTTATTGTACGACCGTTTTAAAATAATTTTTAGTCTAAACTCGAAAATGCCCTTTACTGCATATACGGCACGAGTACTAAATTTCTTCGCCATACTCGCTATGCTGACATTTGTTGTTGCTGCAGCGGTTTTCATTGGTCGCTACTTGGAGCGTTCAACAGTTTTGTATGTGAATAATTTGGAGTTGCCGATGAATTTCAAGCAGCAACCAAAGGAGATGCTATAAATGGGCGAGAAAATATGTGAAGGTATTTAAATGAAGATAAAAAAGTATAAAGCACAAATAAAATCGAGTCAAATGGTTAAAACTCAATTAGGTGAGCAGAAGATTACAATAAAATGTTCTGAAAACAAAACGTCATAACTAACAATATATAAATTAAAACCAACCAAACATAAAAATTGGAGTAAAACAAAATAAAATAAAAACAAAATCAATAAAAAAAATAATATATAAAAACAAAGAGAAAAAAGTAAGTAAATTGGAATTAATTAAAAAACGAAAAAAAAAAAAAAAAATTAATGCAATAAACAAATACAAATAATTTTAAAATTAAAAAAAAAAACAGCCATGTAATGCAAAATGAAATAATATAAAACAAAATGAAAATTAATTAAAATATATAAAGTAACTTAAATAAATATAAAGTAGGAAAACAATATAAAGCATATAAAACAAAACAAAAAAATAAAACAAAATAAAATTTATAAAATAAATAAACCAAAAAATTATATAAAGTACTTAAAAAATACAAACATATGAAAACAAAATTGAGCTAAATCAAATAAACTAATATAAAAAAAAATCGCTTCAGCTGCTACAAAGCGTAAATTTTATACATAACATAAAATAAGACAACATAAAAGAAAATAAAATAAAATAAAATAAAATAAAATAAAATAAAATAAAATAAAATAAAATAAAATAAAATAAAATAAAATAAAATAAAATAAAATAAAATAAAATAAAATAAAATAAAATAAAATAAAATAAAATAAAATAAAACAAATTAAAATTGAAACAAAATTAAATAAAATTTAACCCGATTGATAACTTATTTAAATAATAATTAAATATTGTGAAGCAAATATGTCGAAGTGAAGTGGAATTTAATGAAAGACTGTAATATTAAAATAAAACAGTAATTTAAAGAATAGCAAAGTAGGGTAACAAAATAAAAAAATGAAAAGTGGTAATTAAAATAATATAAATGAAATAAAAATAACAAAAATAGTTTGATCAATTTATTAAAATAATTGATTAGAAAAATAATAAAAGAATTAATTAAAAAAATATGTTTATATGAAAACAAGCAATATGCAATTTAGTTAAAAAGTTGCGTTTATATGAAAACTTACACTATGCAATTCACTTAAAAAAATATGTTTATATATAATATGAGCTAATTACCATTAAATTATATTAATTAATACGAAAATCATTTTGTTGTGTATTAAAAATAATTCGCGAATTGTATTTTGTAATTTTATTTTGCAGAATTTTTAAAAGCTGTGCATCACTATTAACAAATATGGCTTATAAATAATTCTTTGATATATAAATGTTTAGTGATGTGCAAATACTTTCTATCGGAGCACTCAATATATAGATGTAAGAGCTTAAAAGTGAAGAATCTAAATAAGAGTGTGCTCGAATGCTACTACTAAAGTTCAGTGAATAATCGACCCCAATAGTGAATAAAAAATTTAATTGCAAATAATCTTATTTAACGAACTTGCGAGCAAACGCATTAATATTAATGGTGAGTGTGGCATGCAAAAATATATTTAACTATGTTGCAAAATACATATGTATATGCGTATTTATATAAAAACACATTTTTTTCTTAGTTGATCGCATAGGAAACATAGTAGAGTAATGGATAGGTAGTAAACGAAAGTAGTTGCTCGAAAACGAGCGCTAACGATAAACGCCGGGCATACTTATAGGCGCTTGACGGCGCCAAAGCCACTTCACGAACATAAACACTGAAAGGATGTGTGATTAAAAGTACACATATATGCCTGTGTGTGTATGTGCATGTGTTTGATTATTGGGTGAATGCATTAAAGACTGTGTTAGTGCTTACGAAGCTCATCAATGGCCCGCATCATTGGTGAATCCTTTGATTGCATGCCAGTGAAGAAAATATGTTGAAGTGGCTGTGTGTGTTTGTGTGCACACATTTACTTACATTATCGCTTTATTTACCAACTCAAGCAAATTGTTATTGGCATCTATATTTTTTTAGGACAGACTTTTACTCTTAACATAAAGACCTACATACATATATTTATTTGCTGATGGCAGTGCTGCGGGTGCCCTTGCAAGCATGGCACAAAAACTCAAGTAGCACACGTTAGTATGTTAGTTTTTATTTTATTCTATTTATTGTGTATAATTTTGCAACACGAATTTTTTTTTTGTCCCAATCAACGAACGTTCAATGTCAATCAAGGACACTTTTTATAGACAGACACACATGGCTTTTATCGATATAATTCCCAATTAATATTGTTTTGTAATAAAATCTGTTTATATTCGTTTGCTCTTCCACGTGTCCTTCTGCGTTTGATTGTCCTTGATAAAGTATCGTTAACGTTTATAAGCTTTCCCTGTGAAAAGGACTTTAAAATCAATGTGATTCATCGCTAACATGCCGAAAGCAGTAGCATAGGAAATTATTTCCTCATTATAATGTGAAGATGTTGGTAAGTGGCATCCTTTGAGCGAATTTCCGATTTGAGTTGAGTTTTAATTTGCTTTAAAGTCCTTGCAGATTTTTCTTTTATTTGAATTGATTTAGTTTGGGTGAAGGTCTTTCTTTATTTTGTGGCAGCACTGAGAGTATCGCCTCAGTAACCCTTCTATACATTTCGGATGGCTACACATGAATACAGAAATGCTGATATGATGTGGGTGCCTTCATTCATTCAATTGTATACAAATATATGTAATTGTTATTGATAATACTCGTATGAACCCTGCTTGAGCTTTAGGAACAACAAAGGATTTTTTATTTTTTTTATAATCTTCTTTGACTAATTTGGCAGTGGCAGCGGCAGTGGTAAAGTAATTTTCGCGTTTGTTGAGCTTACATTGGCTGTCTGTTGATCTTTACATAGACCTGCTCGTTATTTGTAGTGCCAGATGGAGATTCAATTTAGTTAGAATTAAAGTAGTCGTCAAGTATGAGATCAACATTTGTTTGTTTGATGCTGAAAATATGCTTGATCTTTAATTTGAGATTTTTGTCTGAGAAGTGTTCTGAAGAGGGCAGGAAAGCAACACAAGAGGTGTTCTAGGCGGAACTACAGTTTGTTGTGACCTAGAACCCAGCAGATGTGATCTACTCGTTTCAAATGTTACCAGAAATCGCTGGACTTTTACTATGTGGGAAGTGGATGTTGAAATAAAACTATTTTTCCGGGTTTTTAATTATTTGTTTTTGTTGCATCAAGGCTCTAATTTTCATTTCTTAAGTTTTTCTAATTGGGCTCATTTTGCTGGTTGATATCACACTATTGAGTTTAGTTAGGCAGACTGTCAACCAGGGGAACTGCAGTGTTGTCCGCAATCGATGGGGCTTCTCATGCAGGCGGCTGCAATAGCCGAGTGCTTAGCAGTGCGTACTACCCTTCAGTAGGTCAATTTCAGACCAAAATTCAAAATTAAAGAAAATTATTTTTACATCTTTTATGTACATTAAATTTACATTAACTTGGACTCAAAGTATGTCAGTAGCAGAAGGAGATGAAATAGACCCATTGAAATTTGTATTGCTATAACAAGAATGTCAAGTAGACTAGGTTTAGCCACACACATGTCCGTCTGAATTTCTGTTTATACGCTAACTTGTTCTATCAGAGATATTTAAAAAAAATTTGCTGCACAAATGCACTGTTTAATTCAAACGGTGATTTTTTGGAATCGCCCAGATTGTGTCACTACATATTATGTATACAATACAACCGTTTTTTCTCATTTTAGTTATTGGATTATAAACTCTTGAAAAAAGTATTTAAAAGCATGAAACTCGGTATTCTACACACAAAAATGAAATATCGGAGTAAATAGTTGAGTGACTCCATTGAAGCTTCATCTGTCATTAGCCGTGACTCAAACTAAACACCATTTGACTACCGCAACTTGTCCAAGGATTACACCCATTTCCAGGGTGCGCTACCTGGATGCAGGAGTAGGTATTGAGTATACCCAGAAACTGGACCACACTAACAACCTAACGTTCTTACTGAAAATTCACGAAATCGAACGACTAACATATAGTTTCCATACACCGATTTGTCCAGAAATTAAGTTTTAGTCAAAACTCCTTCAAGGAAGTAGCCAAGAGCATGAAATTTGATATTAATAAGCCGATAATCGGAAATCGGTGAACTATATCATGTAACTCCTGTAGAACCTGATCTGAGCGAAATGTCTAAAGACCATCGAAGAGCGACAATTTCGGTATTCTACAATATATACGTAAAATGATAAATAATGATAATGACTCAGAGCTTCATTGAAATTTGAGATTCACATAGTTCCCTCCAACAAATTTTTCGTTTACTGCTCTGATATCAGCAGCAAATATTGATGGTGATTTTGATTTTTGCTTAACAGTATTGACTTTATTTGAATTTTATGCATTAAGATTTGTTCCAACAATTCTTTTCGGGGTTAACTCTTACAAATTCAATATTATAGACTTCCTGTCGTGGCTATCATTAATTGGCCTTGGGGAACTCTTTTATGCTTTTCCGATTTCGAAGACAATTTTACACCTAAGAATGTAACTAACTTTATTTGAAATATATAACATATGAAGTAATAAATATGTTTTTTCGCATAGATCGCTCTTTGGTCCACTTTCCAGAAGCGAAAGCTTTCTCAGTTAAAATTTTTTAAATTTCTGGTAATTAGAATGGTTAATAATAAATTGGATCGCTACTTCATATGCAAAACAGACCCGCCAAAATTCATGTCTCTACTATCAAAAGTTTCAGTTGTTGGTTAAAACGAAGCCCATTCCCATTTAACCCAAATTCTTTTGTATACAGTCTTGGCCAAAAGTATTAGGACCCCGACTAATTACTGAATTTTTTTATTTTAACAAGTGAAGTTATGAAGTTTTATTAGTAAAATAGTGAAAATACAATGAATTAGTTATAATAACATTAATATTTAGTAGGTCCACCCTTCGATTTAATAACTTCAGCATTTCTTTTAGGCACGCTGCGTACAAGATTTGCACATTCGTACGCACTTATAGCGTACCACTCGTAAATTAAAGCATTCTACAAGGCAGTTTTTGATGTTATACTGTGTTCCTTAATCTTGCGTTTTAAAATAGCCCACATGTGCTCAATGGGAGCCCCATATCATAATGCTGCCTCCTTCATGCTTAACAGTGGGCACCACGCAAACTGGATGACATTTTTCCCCAACCCGTCGCCTCATGAACGTCATATTAGGTGTTCCAATTATCTTAGAAAAGAAAAAATAATGTTTTCATAAGATTTGTATTATGCCTTCAAAAGTGCTATAGGGTAAGAAGCTGTCGTTGTTAATACTTTGAGACGGTCTTAACTAAGCTTACCTCGAAGTTTGATTCATCAGACCACAGAACATTCGACAAATCTTCTTCCGTGAAATGTTGGTATCGGCGAACCCAATCCAAACGATTGTTCCTATTATTTTCTGAGAACCACAGCTTCTTTCGGGCTTTACATCCTTTTAAACCTGCTTCCAGAAGTCTTCTTCTAGCTGTTCTAGCACTAACTGGTTTACTAAATTCATCCAAAAGGACAGCTGCAAGGGCAGAAGAAGATTTTTTGCGATCCTTGAGAGACTCGCGCATGAGTATTCGGTCTTCTCTTGCTCTCTTCCACTTTTTGATTTATTATTGTGGGATTTCGTATTTGTATTTCGAGACTCCGAGTGAAATGTCAATAGCGAAGTGAGGCGTAGCAATCATTAGAACACTGCCTGCTTTACTTTTCTGTAGTGTAAGTGTGTATAAAATGTGCCAAAGTGTGCAGCCAAAAAATATTAATTTGTTTATTCAGTGGGCTTGTAAAAATTATTAAACAGTGTTTATAATTATGGAGAACGTACCTCAAAACCTTTTTTTATTTATTCCCACAAACCGAGACCACATCACATCAACTTTTTTGGATGATACAGCAATACTTAGTGTCCATAAAAACCCCCTGACAGCCAGTTACAGATTACAAGAACATTTGAAAGTAATAGAAGAGTGGCTAACAACTTGAAGAATTAAAGTCAGTGAGTTTAAGTGTATACAAGTAACATTTATCCTTCAATCTCTATAAATGGGAATACAATACCTCAGAAAGAATTCGTTACCTACCTGGGAGTTACACTTTACTCAACTTGAATACTCGTAGACAAAAAGATTACTCAAACCAAATTGAAAATTGTTTGGTATCCCTAATAACAACTAAATATATAAACAATTTCTTTGATAAATCTAAATTATATTTGAAATTTATTGTTCTTTGCTCACTTTCTTAGTCTATACAGTGGTAATGATTAATTTGTTCTAGGAATAAGAATTAGATTTAAGATTTTTGAAATTATTGCTAGTTTTCAAAAAGGAAAGATTCATTATGAAAAAAATTTATTAATTACCTTTACAGAAGTAAGAAGTTCAAAATATGGGATCAAAAGTAAATGATTTAAAAATGTTCGCAATTTTTGCTTTCGGCTTCGATACGACAGGCGTTAAAGCATTTA